TACGCCCTCCTCTGCCTGCACTGCCTGTGCGGTCTTGTCAATGATCTCCTTGATTGTCTTGAACTCTTCTAGCGAGGCCACCAAAGGCACCATGACCTCCACCATGGGACAGTTCTTCACTTGCGCGGCGGCTCCGAAGATGGCACGCGCCTGCATCTCGCAAATCTCTGGATAGGTGATGGCCAAGCGGCAGCCGCGGTGCCCGAGCATTGGGTTGGACTCCTGAATCTCGTTAGCACGTCGCTTCAAGCGCTCCAGCGGCATGCCAGCGGCTCTGGCCACTGCGGCAAGCTCGGACTCTGTGTGGGGGAGGAACTCGTGCAACGGGGGGTCCAACAGTCGGATGGTCACTGGAAGACCGCTCATGATCTCAAAGAGCTCTACCTGGGCTTGTACCGAGGGTGGTACGAGAAATCACATAATTTATGTTCCATATTGGGTTTAAGCATTCAGGAAAATGTGAAGTGTTGTTCAACAACTTCCAAGCTGCCATGTCTTCCCGTTGCATGAAAAGCAATTTGTGTAGCGCTTCTTTTCGCTCCTTTTGATCTGAGGCCAAGATCATCTGCCGCACGGCGACGATACGCCGGCCGGCGAAGAACATGTGCTCCGTGCGGACCAGACCCAGGCCTTCCGCACCGAACTCCTTGGCTTGACGAGTGTCGGCGATGGTCTCCGCATTGGCACGCACTTGCAGGCTGCGGAAGAGGTCTGTCCAACTCATGAGTGTCTGGAACTGCTTCCCCAGCACGGAAGAAGTCGGTGGCATGGTGGGCACCTCTCCCAGCATCACCTCGCCTGTGACGCCATCGATGCTGAGTCTGTCGCCCTCCTTCACGACAACATCACCAACTCGCAAAGTCCTTGCTGCCAAGTCGACTGCAGCACCTGCTTCTGCAGCACCTGCGCCGCTTGGACGTCCCGCACCAACCACGCATGGCCGGCCCATGCCACGGGCCACTACGGCAGCATGGCTGGTAATGCCGCCGGTGATTGTCAGCACACCCTGTGCTGCATGAAGTCCGTGGATATCATCAGGGCTCGTCTCGCTTCGCACCAGGATGACTCGCTCCCCATCATTTGCCCGTCGCACGGCCTGCGCGCGAACACAAGCTCAACAAGAAGCTGTCAGAGGTAAGCATGGAAGACGTGGTTTCGCAGCAATTGATGTGGGAACCTGCTCTGCTACCACTGGACACAGGTAAAGGGCAAAACACAGGTCGTGGAGATCATGCTCCATTGCCCACACCTCGTCAGCACAGAACACGACCTTGCCAGCCGCGGCACCAGGCGATGCTGGCAGGCCCTGCCGATTCAAGGCACAAGGTGCAAGGATGCGTAGCTGAACTGTGGAATCAGAGTGAAGCAGTTCTGGCAACGATTCATCTGGTGCACTCAAAGGCGTCACGGTAGCATGGCAACTGTGCTAGGTCGCCTGAAACGGGCATCTATAGGCCATTAGGCATAGCGACCCTGCAGTCTCTTGGAGCCCCAACGGATCCTGCTACCCCCCCCCCATGCTGAGAGGTGCAAGCCTTGGTGATGACCTTTTTCTGCGCTGTTGGGTCGAAAGTGGGGTGCAGGAGGTGCTCCAGCAACTGCGGCTTCAAGCGCATGATGGCTTCTTCCCTGGAGATGAAACCTGCCAGGGGAATCACGCAACAAGTTACGTTTAGTTTTGCCAAGGCCTTGCTTCAGCAAGGGTAGTCTTGAGTCTGCTCAGGAAGGGCCCGCTTGTCGTTTATCCTCCTGGCCTT